CCACGACCAACAAGTCCACCCGCTGACCAACAAGTCCACGACCAACAAGTCCACCCGCTGACCAACAAGTCCATGACCAACAAGTCCACCCACTGACCAACAAGTCCATCCTCTGAGCATTTTGTCCTATTATTTCTCCTGAGCCATGCTGTTAACATGCTAGCTGTAAACAGCTTCAGACAATAAGCTAACAGTCTCAATGAGGCTGAATCATGTAGCGCTCACTCAGCCACTTGAGTTTTCAAGACCAAGGCTTTCTTTGTTGTCATTCACATCTCATGTGGTACATGTGGAAAGAAATTGTGTACACAGAGTCCCATTTACAGCCAATAAAAGTATATATTGTAAAGAAAAACAGTAATAAGATCTAATATATGAACTAAGAATAACCAAGAGTATGCTAAACACTTAATAGTGCAAAAACAATTTCTGAGACAACAATGCTGACACCTGTTAGAAAAATTGTAGCTTTCAGAGAGTCCAGAGTACTTCTGATGGTGTTCAGCTTATTAAATCAGGAACGCTGAGGATAGTCCAGGTGAAAAGGCCGAGTCAGTCTCAGTGGTCAACCTGAGTTGTTCAAGGTAACAATCCAAACTTCTCGCTGATTAAACATCCAGCACTGTTTTTCCTCTGAAACCTGTTCATATACCATCTCACTAACTTTCTCTTGCTTTCACAACACAAACACAGAGCCTGCTGAAGTTCTCTTTTGGGGTGGAGGAAGAGACAGATCTGCTGAGGTTTTCAGGATGGGAGTAGTAGTAAGCTACAATGCATTTAAAGAAGCTGGGAATAACTAAACTTCTAGCAAATTAGATGAAGATGACAAAAAAGCCATTAAAATGTATACTTGACATTCATTATAGTCATTTTTGATAATGCATGAGGGAAAAATTATTCATATTTAAAATGCACTTTATATTTCATCCAGCCCTGGTGTTAACAAAAGAGCAAGTTTCATCTTAAGTATGATATGTCCTTCAAGAACTGGGTTTATGACACCATCTGCATGCGTGTGGGTGTGTGTGTGTGTTTGTGTGTGGTCTTACCTCCTCTGGACAGAGCTCATGTGTGCAGGACATGAAGTGTGCGCAAAGCAGAGGGAAGCAGATGGAGTGGCGGCTCTGGGAGGGAAGCTCCAAGCACTGCTGGAACATTTTTTCAAATGCACGGCTGTAGAAACTGCACACATAAAAAAATAAAATAAACAAATAAACAGAAGGAGATCGTTACAGATAAGGAAAAGTGAGCCCGTATGAAGTACAGAAGAGTTTGCATTTTACCAGAAAATAGACAAGTCCGACGTCTCTACCAGCATCTCTACCAGAGAGTCTACCATCTTTGTATGGAAGATGATGGTGTTCATCATTTTACCCAGCTCCTTGTGATCAGCAATTCCAAGACTGGCTTTAGAAACACTGGTGTAGGCCTACAAAAGTGGAAAACAAAGGGTGTATGTCACTAAGTCATTACTGTTCATTTAAGTTTCACTTTTGACATTCATCACAGATGAAGCAGGGAGCAATACTGTGCAATTTGCTGAACAGAGCAGGGTAAGATTATTTGAACTGATCTGTAAAACAAATCAACAATAATAAATTCTCTTCAATCCTCCAACCTGCTTGTCATTAGCTACTTGCCTCTCAAGTTAGCAAGCTAACATTAAATAACCTAGCATAGGCTATTGCTTTGTAAAACTTTATCCAGAACAATAAATCTAACGTAGAGGTAAATATATATATCAGTATCTAAAAAAGTTAAGTCTGGTCCTCTGGACATTCAAAAAAACAAAACAAAACAAAACAAAAAAAATTGTAGAAAAGTTTCGTCTTTCATCCAAGAGACTTCCTCAGTCTGAGGTGCTGTATTCAGCTCAGTCTCTTAAATAGCACCTTCTCAGAGTGGAACAACCAGTTTTGCTGCTGACAACCAAAACCAGCTGATCACATGCTCAAGAAGGACCATCAGCCTAACAATGGATCATTAGCACACTGATGGCTGTGTACTACTCACAGAGGGCTGAGTGATACTAGCAATCACAGCATTGTAAGAGGGGGACAGTTGAACCCGGAGGCCTCCACCTGTTTAATGATGGATGATTTATTTTCACAAAGATGGCCTCCTTTACTCCTCTCTCAAACCATCGTTCCTCTCTATCCAGGATGTGAACATCTTCATCCCTGAAAGAGTGACCGCTGGCCTGGAGATGAGTGTAGACCACAGAGTCCTGGCCTGATGATGTTGATCTTCTGTGCTGGGCCATCCTTTTGGCCAGTGGCTGTTTAGTTTCCTCGATGTAAGACTGATCACAGCCCTCCTGACACTGAACAGCATACACAACATTACTCTGTTTGTGCCGGGGGACTGGATCTTTGGGATGAACCAGTCTTTGCCGTAATGTATTTTGGGGTTTAAAAGCCACTGGGACGTTATGTTTAGAAAATAAACATCTCAGTTTCTCTGATACTCTCTCAACATACGGAATGACCACTGGTCTGGGTCTGGGTTCCTCCTTTTCACCTGTTGGCTGACTGGAGTCCTGTTTGGGTTTCTTCTCTGCTTTCAGGAAGGCCCAGTTAGGATATCCACATTGCTCTAGACCCTGTCTTGTGTGGGATTTCTCCTTCTGCCTGGCTCCTGAGCTAGTGGGGATGCTGTCTGCTCTGTGATACAGAGTCCTGATGACTCCTAACTTGTGCTCCAAAGGGTGATGGGAGTCAAACTGCAAATACTGGTCTGTGTGGGTGGGTTTACGGTACACCTCGGTTTGCAAATGTCCTCTATCAGAGACTGAGACCTCACAGTCCAAGAAAGCCAACCTGCCATTATTTACATCTTCTTGTGTGAACTTTATGTATTTATCCACAGAGTTGATGTGGTCAGTAAAATGTTGGACTTTCTGAGATTTAATTTTAACCCAGGTGTCGTCAACATACCTGAACCAATGACTTGGTTGTGTCACTGAAAAGAACGTCAAGGCTCTCTTTTCTACCTCCTCCATGTACAGGTTGGCAACAATAGGAGAAACTGGAGACCCCATAGCACACCCATGTTTCTGCCTATAATATTGCTCCCCATATGTGAAGTAGGTTGACTGCAGGCACAGTTTCAAGAGTTGACACAGTTGTTCTGTGGAAAGCGTGGTCCTGCTGCTCAGAGTGGTGTCTGATTTTAATCTTAAAATGACCATCTCTACTGCATCATCAACAGGAATGCACGTAAAGAGTGATGTGACATCAAAAGAGACCATTGTTTCATCAGTCTCCATGATGACATCCCTCACCTTATCCACAAAGTCCATGGTGTTATGTATGTGGTGTTCTCATCCCTTTAGTTGGCAGCTCAGTACAGACGCCAGATATTTGGAAACATTGTAAGTGACAGTTAATCATGCTAACAATTGGTCTTAAAGGTACACCTCGTTTGTGAATTTTAGGTAAACCATACAGACTAGGTGGTGTCTCCCCTGGGTACAGTCTGTGGTACAGAATACGGTCAATCGTCTTGTCCTTCTCCAAAATTTTCAGGTCCAGAGTACCAGATTGATCTTTTTTAGATTTTTCTACCTGGATTATTGAGCATGCATCAGGATATAAATATCAGTGTCTGTCTGACATCTTTACTTCTCTTCAAAGAAAAATAAACTCTGCTGTGGTCAGTACTAATTAGACCCCCACCATACAGACTGACTGTTGAAACAGTGAACAGGAAGGGTGCTTCTTTGTTTCATTTATAGTTTTGTAACACTTGATAACTTTACGGTGACTAGTGGAGGACAGAAAATGTGAACATACGTTAGAAAGACTGTTTTTATGACCAGTGCACCACTTGTAAACCTATTGTGGGACTAATCACAGCATGGATCTGATTAGATTAGATTAATGGTTGCCAACAGCTGCTCTAAATAAACAAGCCCCACTCCACTCAGATTGTTGGGGGTGGACAAAGCTCAAAGATTTTCAGCCATAACATCGGTTATCGGCATTAGCCTCCCCCCTCCCAATATCGGTATTTGTGATAGCCAAAATATCCATATTGGTCAAGCTCTGGATGGTACATCATGTTTTTTTTTCCAAGTTAGTTTTCACAGCTGCGCAAAGAGTTGGACCTGAACAATGAAGTCGGTTCAGATTTGTAACAGAACTGAAGCTTGTTCATAGTGACTCCTGACTTCTGGGTGCTCTCAAAGCTCTGAGGAGCATTGAAGCACAAGTTGTTTCAAGACTTTAACCTGCTGGTACTTTTTTTTAATACATTCAGTTTTTGTGACTATGTTAATAACTTTCAGTAATATGTAAAACTTGGACTACATCTTACAAATGACAACAGTTTTTTCCACAAATAGTTTGACACATATTTAGTTTTTTCATATTGTAAGTAAACAATGCTCACAATGTCAACTTACAAGTTTTAACACAGTAATATTAAATTAAAAAGGTGGCATTTCACAAAAAGATTCAGCTCAATCCCTGCAGAGTGACATAAAACTGTGTTGAGAAAGGTCAGAGATGCCTGCAATAACTTAGCAACATATTAAGACAAAAACTGTCTAATAAAATCCACGTGATGTGGAAAAGCGTTTCTCAAGATGAAAACCTGCAAACATTTCCAGACATTTTGGAAACTCCCTCGCAAATTCTGTTCCCAGTGTGATGCAGCAAAGTGAGATTCAGGTAGAAGAAACAAATAATACTATTATTATTATTATTATTATTATTTTACCAGGTAAGTCAACCGAGAACCAGTTATTTACAATGAAGACCTGGCCACGAGGCAGCAACACAGGTAGACTTAAAACAACAATGATAAAAGCATAAAACCACAAAACAGACAACTTAAATCAACATTTTAAAAATTTACTATACAACAAACAAACAAAAAATGCTGCTTCTTGAAAGCAGAGTGTTTTACGAGTGTTGTAAGCCTGATCTTTGTGTACGGCAGGGCTGCAAAATGCACAAGTGCATTTGTTAGCCGAGGTGTGTTGGTGGAAAATCATCATAATCATCACCACCACCAACAGCACCACCACCACCATCATCATCATCAAAGTGCATCATGAAATAATTGAAGCATTTTATTTGATCATACCTGCAGTCTGAACCAGTCCAGCCTCATGCCTCTGAAATCAAACACTTCTCCATCTTCCACTGAAAACACAAACAAACAAAACAGTTTATTACTAAATAAAATAAATAAACACTGCAGAATAACTGGAATGTTTTCATAGGCGGTCATTTAATGCAGAAAAAGAATGTTTAACCTTGTTTGACACTGAGGGAGGTCATGGTGTTGACAAACGAAGACATGATTATAGATTCATCCTCAGGACACACCGACAAGTTCTGTTGAGGAAAACAAGAAAGACAAAAAAATATTTTGAACAAAAGCTGAGAACGTTTCAGAGAAGTGGCACAAGCGAGGGCAGCTCTCCACTGAAAGGTGCTGACAGAAACATCTCATGATCAGCGTTTTTCTTTTTAGAACATCTTTTATTTACAATAATATTTAAGATCAAGGCTAAATATTTTATTTAATCACAAGTTATTATATTCATTTTAAAACTTAACTCCAAAGAGTCAGTAGGTTGTTTTAAAATCAAAGGCAGCAGTACTGAGGGGTAGGCATGTCACAATAAACAATAACTCAATTAATCTCATGATAAATGAAAATGAGAGACCTCAATTTCATTTATTGGCTTTATCGCTTCTTCGTCTCTCTCTTTCTACTGAAGACACTGGATGACAAAAAGCTCAACTCCACTACTCTTCACTGACCCCTTCCTTTCTCTTTTCTCTTTAAAATTCATTTTAACCATCCAAAAGCGCGTTTTTGGATCATTAAAAGTAGCTAAGCTGAGAAGCTAAGCTACAAGCTACAATCCGTGTTGTCAAAGCTCTAAAACTCAGGTTAAAACCCGTGCCTTTGTGTAAAAAGTTGTTTTTCTCTGCAAAAAGACGCTGAGAACTTGTTTACTGATTTTTTATTAAAAGCTTTGTGTGACAAATGCTATGCTAAAGAGCTCAAACCACACCGAGCGTCCGCCATTTTGAGAATCGAATAAAGGAAGGAGAGACAGCCCATGTCACGTCAAGGGGCCTCTCTCCCATTTTTCTTAAAGAGACACGCTGCTCACTCCCTCACTATCCAGTGTTTCCCTACCATTATACAAGCGGGGCTCCCGGCCCCGTCAACAGAACTGAGCGCCTCGACTACCAAACCCCAACCACCTGTCGGCACTGACGTAACGCTAAACTAGCGGTTCGCAATGCAGGTGCACTAGCTAAAAAGCTAAAAGCAACCTCTTCCTTCATGTTGAACCCTCACGCTGAACACACCCCCGCCACTCGAAAACTGTTGGTACAAACAGCGCACGGCTCAGATGTGCGTCCGTCTTTCCCCCCACCGACCCCCATCCAAAAAACTGTTGGTTCAGATAGTGCGTGGCTGAGATGTGTCTCTGTCTCTCTACTCTCACACACCATGCTCTAAAAATGTTGGTGCAAACAGCGTGCAGCTGTCTGTGTCTCCCCCCCCCCCCCCCAAAACTGTTGGTTTAAACAGCGCGCTGTGCAGCTTAGGACGGGTTTCTATCCACCCCCACCCCCCTTGAACAAATATCAAGGATGAGATGAGCGCCCCGCCATGGCAAGTCATCAAGGGGAAACACTGCTATCCATCCTTCAGTTCAAACAGTCTTATACTGCCATCCAGTGGTCAAAAAAGGTACTACATGCAAAATAAATTCACATTTCTTCTTAAATTTGACAATAATTACTAATTATTGTCAAATTTCAAACAATATTATCGTTTATCGCAATAATTTCTGAGACAATTAAACGCCCAGCAAAATTTGTTATCGTGACAGGCCTATTGAGAAACAGAGAATAAACAGAAAATCAGGGGCCCCCAAGCCCCCCGGGAGCTGACGTTTCCTCTTTAGAAAACTGTTATGTTTGAGCAATTATATTGCACACCTTAAAAACATGGTGTCTCCCTTTACGATAAGATAAAAAATGGCGTCTTCCTTTCTTATCAGCTCCACAAGAAACATTCAGGAGGCAAAGTAAACGTTCACACCAGATCACTTTAATTAGGATTCTAAACTCCGCCAGAAGTGGGACAAAAAAAAAAAGGACCAGTACTGTCATCTAATATATTATATTTTTCTATAAATGTGTTCTATAGAACGCTGGTGCTGACCGATCAGAAGCGATGTTAAAGCCAGACCTGACTTCCTATTTTCTAACGATGTCTTGTGGGTAATGTAGTTTTTAGGAATAGCTTACATTCAGTTGGTCACACTGATGACGAGTATGTCATTAGCATGCTAACTCATGTAGCTTGTTGCAAATGTTTGTGTAATGGTAGGGGAAATATTGACTTATTCTCCAATTCCACAAAAATGTTGAATAAAAGCAAAGAGACAACACTATTTCAGTAGAGATACTATAAATGTGAGTCTGTGTACAACAACGACACACTGCATGTGCGTTCTTATTTTTACCTGCACCATCTCATTCAGAACCACAGCATCGAATCCAGACAGGTACTGGACGTAGTATCTCTGCATCACAGGACCATATTTCCTGACGTGAGCTCTGAGCTCCTCCATGTAGAAGATCAGCTCTGCTATGTGTCTGCAGAAATCACATCAGAGCTTCACTTAAAAAAACACAAGCAACCCAATAAAGAGGTTAACTTGCATGAACAGATGTGTGCATGTGGTTGTGTCCAGCTGCGTGCTTGTGCATACTTGTCAATGAAATCATCGGTGCTTTTCTTCTGGATGTTGTCGGCGTGTCGAAGCAGCCAGATGATTTCGTCCCGGGCGAACGACAATGCCATGAACACAAATAATGCCTGCAGGGCCAGAAACAAAGAGATGTGAACAAATTAAGTCAGCAGGAATGACAAACATCACAGTCTAAACTAGGTAGGGGGAACACTGGTTCAGACATTTTAAAACAGAGTTCTGTGAATAAGTTGTGAAAAACAGCATTTTCTCTTGTAGCTGTTTGGAGAAACAGAGTTCAACTAACAGGATAAGAGAGTCAAGACCCAACTGGATCAACGTAGTCTTAAAATGACTACAATATTTCATAGTGTTTCACACAAAAGCCATTTTATACACTGATCTCATTTTCACGTTGCACAGATAGTTCAGTAAAAGTATATATTTTTTTGCTATTCATCATTAGAAATTTCCTCAGTTTTTGTGTAAATATCTGTGGGATGTGAAATTGGTGATTGTGTTAAGACGTATGAAGCAGCATTAGAATGAACCCTCGTTAAAAATGTGGTGATTATTATTTTAGGATGGCAGAAATCCACTCTGGTCTTAGCCCCACATAGAACAGCCATTAGCCCGTCAGTCCCGTCAAAATTAATGTATTCCTCCAAACCAAGGTCGTTCTACGACAGGTAAGATGATAACTGTTCACAACTTTTCTACAGAATCACACTTCATATTTGGTGAACTATGGCTTCACTGATCTAAATCACCAAGTTCAACTAGTTCTCTACAAAACATGCTTATTTTGCTAAATTATGTTACCGTTTAAAGTAGAATATAAATGTTTTAAGAAACTCCAGGTACTCATGTTCCCTCCCACAGACCAAAAATATGCATATTTAGAAGACACATACATAATTGGATTTATGGTAGTGGGATTTCTGCTTTTTGGATTCAGCGGGTTTCTGGCTTACCGACAAATTCGGAAGACGTCTGCAGCGGATCTGGCATTTCTGAGGCTGCCTCCCATGTGTGAAGGAATGTGCTGCGTATCGAGCGCCCAGACTCAGATGCTTTGTGAGCTAAGCCATAAGCTGGACGCAATTTCTGAGAATGGCAGGCCAGTGTTTCCCCTACAATTATACAAGCGGGGTGCCCCACCCCGTCAACAGAACTGAGCACCCCACCTACCAAACCAAACTTGACCCCCCACCTAGAACTGACATAGCACTAAGCTAGCGGCACGAAATACAGGCTCTCTAGCTAAAAAGCTAAAGGCACCTCTTCCCTCATTTTGAACGCCCCCCGCCCCCGCTCAAAAACTGTTTGTACAAGCTGCACTCAGACATATCTCCGTCCCTCCCCATCAACAAAAATCATACATGAGATGAGCACCCCACCATGGCAAGTTAACTAGGGGAAACACTGCAGGCCACTTTTTATTTTTTTTTACCTCCCCTCATCCTCTCATGTTCTTTTCCTTACCTACTGTGTTTTTCGCCCTATGAGTTACATTTCTTGCATAATTTACGTCCTGCAACTTATACACCAAAGAACATATTTGTTTTTTTCCCCATATTTATAAACCAATTTTTGTCTGAGATGTGATGATTTAATTCATTGAACACCACCATTTTCAGCCGTTAGATGGCACTCGAGCAGTATGGCAAACAGTTGTGTCATGTAATAGGTAAAAGTGGCTAATAATGATAATAAACACTAAGCCACCTTCGTCCAGTTTGCCTGGAGCAACCGTCTAATCAGCTTCATTTTGCTGCACCACCAAGGCAAAATGCAGCTAATTTGACTATTGAAGTACATTTATTAAGTAAAAGTTCAACTGAGACACATCTTTTATATAAAGTCGAGCAAACAAATACCAGTAATTGTTTTAGGTGCTTATCTTGTTAAATTTTGAAGAAATGCGCAGCGTTCCTCCTTCCTTTTTTCCTCCCTCTGTGTGCTCCCGGAGCACCGAGGAAGCAAATAACAAAGTCCATGCTCAATAAAGCAAATACTTTTGAAATGCAGCTGATTTGACTGTCAAAGTGCATTTATTAAGTAAAAGTTCAACTGAGATACACCTTTACTATAAAGTCGAGCAAACAAATAATTGTTTTAGGTGTTAATCTTGTTAAAATCTTGTTGAAGTCCTCCTGTGCATGCTCCCGTGGCCGCCATTTGGCAGCCAATCGATTTTTGGCACAACACCGGCCCACATTTTTGGGTTCTGCTCACATTTCCGGGTCATCAGCGGTGACGCATAATAGATGCAACGTATATGGCGAAGTGATGTATTTATGGATTTTTCCACTTTATTAGACATATATGGACTGATGCGACTTATAAGGCGGTGCAACGTGTACGGTGGAAAATACGACACTTTGTATGTCTGTATGTAACAGGTCTCTCTTGTAAATGAGTCCTCGAGGCTTAGTGGGAACTAACCTGTATAAAGGTTGAATTGAATGTTAAGATTTATTTGGGACTAAATATATTCGGTCAAAGTGAGTGAGAGAGTGAACGGTTGTTTGTCTCATTTGTCTCTGTGTGTCTCTATGATGGACTGGAGACCTGTCCAGGTGGCCCCCGCCTCTCAGACTGCTGGTGACAGGGACTAGCCTCCCATGACCCAGAAAGAAGAAGCGGGTAAAGAAAATGGCTGGATCAAAACACTGTGCAACCCAAACTGCTTTAACATGTAAAGATCTGCTGCAAGTTTACTCCCAGCCCCTATGGAAACAGTGCAATACTATTTTATTGGGTTAACAAACAGTTGGTTTTAGAGTGTCAGTTTTAAAATTTAAAGAGGTATTCAGAGTTACCTTTGGACCGAGGAGTCCAGGCTGGTCGGCTAAAACCGTAGCCAGCTCCTTCAGAGCAGATCGGAGGAATTTGCGTCTCTCTCTGTGCATGGAGCCCCTGAAGAAAGTCAGACAGGAGTAGGGTGTCAGAGCAAAGCGTCGAACACAAGCAGCATTACTGCATTTTGACACTTCCAGGACAATCCCAGAGAGGACGCAAAGTAAGCACAGGATGACTGACGGCAGAACAACGAGAACGGAGATGAAAGGGAAAGACAGCATAAGTAATGAGGATAAGAGCTGAGATGAGACAAAGACGGGAGGATGAAACGACGTAAAGAAGGTGATGCTTCGGCGCCAGACTCTTTGAGAAAGACACAGCTGGGGGAGCTACAATGACAGGTAAAAAAGTGAAGTCTAAAAAAAACGGGAACATAGATTAATAATACAGAAACCAGAGGCAGAGGAGGGAAAAATACTCTAAAATGTTTTTGTTTTTTTTGTTTAAGGAACAAAAGGGATTAAATTTTAAGGATATCATGAAAGGAATACAAACAAAATTATATTTACACTTACGCATGAGACAGCGCCTGTTCTTTGCACTCCCTGATGTCATTGATGCGTTTGTTGTATCTAAAAATGCAAAAAGGAAAGACGAGATAAAGCTCATATGAAACTTTTTGTCCCAGAAAGAGTGGTGAACTGTTTGCAGAGCAGACGCTCCTACCCTCTGATGTTCACAAACAGGTCCTCTGCAGCCTTGTGGATGTGGAAGACTTCATCCCTGAACAGACAGAGGCAAGTGGAGCTCTGCAGAGCCAACTTCCACAGAGACAAGGCCGCGGCGTCGCTGTTCAGCATCGCGTGGCACAGAATGAAACCAACTGCAGGGAGAACAGGGAGGAAGGCCACATCAGGAACACAGTTTTATTTCTTTTAGAACTCACGGGGCTCTGGACTAATTTTATGCACGAGCTGCACTGATGCATCACTATTTGAGTTGGGTGCACCGGCATAACATTTATATGATCAAACTTTCCACCAGTTTATTTTACGGTAGTGATGTCACGTGCGCTGCAGAATGGTAGCACTGACGGGAGCTCTGCTTCGACCCGATCGTTTTTTGGTTCCAGTTGTTTTTGTTTTAACTTTTTTGTGCCTACACTGCTCAGTCACACTACGAGTATGGCTGCGACACACTCGTGAAGTGTTCTGTGTCGCTGCCTTGCCATCGTGGTTCAGTCCTTCCAGCCTCGGGCTCAGGCCTGTCATGACGGCTGTCTCCATGATCCTCCATCTGCCTGCACGGACCGAACTCTACGGGTCCATTCGGTTCCATGGGGAAAATTGGGATGTTCTGTGTCTGCCGAACCTGGTTCTGGAGGGCAGTGTGGGAGGGCAGCTGCTGCGGCCATTATTATCATCATGCTGCTAACGGGGCCGCACTGCTAACTGAACCACTCGGCAAACAGGACCATGCTGCTGTAGATGTCTGCTTTTTCACTTTTGGAGCCTTGTTTGTGCATTTTTGTTGCATGCGTTGGTATTTGTTGTTGCCGTTTTGTTGGCGAGTCGAGACCGTTCTTCTCGACCTCAACATTTCATTGTATTGTTGACCTTGTATTGATCTGCAAATGATAAATAAACCAAACCTGAAGCTGAGGTTCTGCATCAGATTGTGCTGATCTTCATAAACCAACTGTCAGACTGATAAAGTCTGAAGAGGACTCAGTTAACCACACACTAACCCTCTCAGTTTGCTGGAGAACCCTGCTCTAGGACCAAGAACGACACAGCTCCTGGTTATACAGGGACCTGACAGCCCTACAGTGACCCGGGCACTCCGTACATTCCCAGCACCCCTCACAGATTGCCTCAGGGATCATGGTCAGAAACCTTCTCCAGATCCATTAAACCCATGTAGTCTGAGAAGTGTAACTCTCCTGAGCCCCTTAGCAGCTCTGCACACCGCCCCTCCTGAATCTGACGTTTGAAAACCCGTTGGATCATTCCATCCAAAACCTCCGTTTCTGTGATGATTACACTTTGACAAACATATCACCTCTGTTGTCCAGTCTGGATTTCTTTTATTTACGCCTTCTAAAAAAGGTCAACCCCTTTTTAAACCGTTGCGACTTGGAGAAGGCTGTTCATGTTTTTATCAGTTCTAGACTTGATTATTGTAACGCTCTGTATGTCGGTGAACCGCAGTCATCACTGAGTCGCCTCCAGCTTGTTCAAAATGCAGCAGCTCGCCTTGTAACCAACACTCCTAGACGGGACCACATCGCACCTGTTTTACTCTCACTACATTGGCTTCCTGTCCATTTTAGAATAGATGTTAAACATTTATTTGTTTTTAAAGCTCTGAATGGCCTCGCTCCTCCTTATATAACAGAGTTGTTAAGTTTCCTCACCCACTCCAGGTCTCTGAGGTCAGACAGCTACTGCTCTCTGTTCCAAGGACAAAATATAAACGCAGGGGTGACCGTGCCTTTTCTGCAGCCGCACCTCGACCCTGGAATAAGCTCCCAATTGAGCTACATCAGATTACTGAACTTGGCCCTTTTAAATTGAAGCTGAAGACTTTTTTTTATTCCAACAGGCTTTTAGTACTTAAATATGTGTTGACATTTATGGTTGTCTTTTTGTTATTTTATCGTGTTTTTTCTTGCTTTTAACTTGTTGTCATTTTAATTACCATTTTTGTTAAGCACTTTGGTCACCATCAACGTGGTTGTGTAAAGCGCCATAGAAATAAATAAATTAAATTGGAACTCTCTTGTGGGCAGCACGGTGGCGCAACTGGTAGAGCTGCTGCCTCTCAGCGAGCAGGTCCTTGGTTCAAACCTCAGTCCAGGGGCCTTTCTGGGTGGAGTTTGCATGTTCTCTACGTGCATGTGTGGGTTTTCTTCGGGTGCTCCGGTTTCCTCCTACAGCCCAAAAACATGCATGTTAGGCTGATTGGTAACTCTAAATTGTCCCTAGGTGTGAATGGTTGTTTGTCTCGTTTGTCTCTATGTGTCCCTGTGATGGACTTGCGACCCGTCCAGGGTGTACCCCGCCCCTCGCACAGTGATTGCTGGACATGGGCACCAGCGACCCCCATGACCCAAAATGGAAGAAGCGGGTAAAGATAATGGATGGATGGATGGAACTCTCTTGTCCTGAGAATCTCATCCAGCTCTGGCGCCCTATCACCAGGGGGCTTTCTAAATACCTCGGTGACCTCTGCTATGGTAGTGGACTTGTTTCCTCAGAATCTGCATCCTCAAAGGTGGACATGGTGGCCATATAAGGAGATACTTTAACTGATGCTTCCCACATCGGACACTATCCTCATACCGAATCAACAGTTCTCCACACAAGCCAAGCACAGCCTGGGATGGAGCTTGTTTTTAGGTTTGGTTTATTTGTTATGCAGGTCAACATAAGGTCAACAATGCAAAGAAATGCTCAGGACGAGAAGAACTGTCTTGACTCGCCAAAAAAAACAACAATACCGAAACATGCAACAAAAAAATAAAAAAACAAGGCACCAAAAGTGAAAAAAAAAGACATCTACAACTGCACGGTCCTATTAGCAGAGTGGTTCTGTTGACAGCGGGTATGTTTACATGGACATAAGTAACCGGATCAAATGGCCGGTCGGAATAAAAGTGTCATGTAAACACTCCGTTCGGGTTATTTTTTGTGTATTCGGCGCGATCCGATATAATTTGTGATCAGAACGAAACGGGTGGTTTACGCCGATCCGTAACCCAATCGGTGCGCATGTAAATGCTTGATCTGTTCGTTTTTATCTGATCGCGAAAAACTGACCTGACTGCGCATGTGCGAGTTTGCCATTTCCGCCTGGCTAATGCTAATAATATTAGCATGTCAGGGAAGCAAAACTGGTCGGTGAGCGACAACATTTATACTAGAAACTTTGAAAGAGCTCAAAATGATCTGTATTACCTGTAGCTCAGTCAGGGAGTGCAGTTACGTCTCCACCGTCATTAAAACTTGTCGCGGGTCCATTTTGGGTGCTCAGGTTTGTTTACGTTCACCCCGGAAGTAGAACTTCTTCTTCGGTGTTTTTTTAAGGAGAGTTTACCACTCTGCGCATGTCAGTACTGCTGTTCAGAACAAAGCCCGCTGCATGTAAACGCTCATCATGAACAGATTGTGCCCATGTAAACAATACATTTGAATTATTCAAACAGAACACATTTCAATCCGGTCAAAGAATTCTGCGCATGTAAACATAGCTAGTGAGGTTCTCTTAGCAACATGGTCCCGTTTTCCTTTCTGCATCACTAAAACAGTTTGCTAAACTCTCCTCAAGGCCAACAAAAGTCCTTCTCTATGGCTTCTCTGAATTCCTCCCACACCAGTTTTTGCTTCTGCAACCACAGAAACCACAGTCCTCACAGTCAAAATAAACCTTATTTTGTATTATCATGTTGTTAAACAGATTTCATTTGTCTTTTTAATATCTCAGGCCCAGAGTCACCAGCAGTGCCAACTGCTCCAGGTTAGCTAGAACTCTGCTCCTCCTTGCTGCCTCATCTTCAAAAAGCAAACGGCACTAATTATCTGCTGGTGCAAACACACCTATCTAGATTAGCAGGTGTGAACAATTTGCACTTGATTTGGAATGCAGGTGTCCTCTGTGCACAATAAGACCATAAACACATCAGACATGACGTGACAAAGAGAAACACAGTTTAGTTCTTGTTTTATTGGATGAAGTACAGAGATGCTCCTCAAACTGCATGAAACTCTTTATAAACCTTAATTATTTAAAAACAGCCATTTGGCAAAAGAGACATTATATCTGCCTTCTCTGCTTTTTACCTAAAAACTAATGAGCAATACCTTCTGGATCATGGAGAATGTGCTGCTGTTTCTCGCTTCTTTCTTCAGAGACTGATAGTTGATGGTTTCAGGAGGTGGGAAATGTTTGATGCTAAATGCATGTTGCAAATTGCGCTGTGTTTTGAGGATCAGATGCCAGCACGTGCATATTAACTAATTTAAATGTGGACGAAAAGCACCAACGCAGAGAACAGCTGCGCCAAGATGAGGGTGCAGAACGGGCCGTGAATCAGACGAGGGAGAAAAGACAAAATCACACCTGCAAAAACGTACAAAATAATCCTAAATCTGAGCCTCAGTTGTTTTTTTAGTTTTCTTTTTTCATACTGCTTTCACGTTTTAATATGTTTGGGTGAGTGCCAACATCCTACCAGTTCTCTCTCCTCTTCCACCCACAGACTTTTGCAGTCTGAAATCCTGGAGGGAGGGGTCTACTGAAGTGGACAAACATGTCCCAACACAACATGTGTTTCCTTGAGATGTTGTTAGTTGTAAATGTCGACACTTGACCATGTCCACCTTTGACTTGCAGTAAACGAAGTGCATGATGACCGTCTTAGCCTTTCAGCAGGCAGTTTGCTTCTAGACTGACAATCACGTCTTCTCATGCTTGACGAGTCAGACATTTAACCCCAAATGTTGCACCACGATGTGGACCCAAATGAAGCTCCATCTGGATGCAGACCGGTTGTTAAAATGTAAATTTACCTCGTTTTATTTGTGCACTTCGTGCTAAATTTTAAGTAATTCGTTTTATATGGCGCAGATTTTCTTGACGTTTCAGTTGCTTGATTTCCTGCTGGCTGGCTCAATAAGACATTTTGCAGGCTGAAAAACCTTAACTCTGGATTTTAAATTTTCCATCGCTAAATTTGAATCGGACCACTGGACTAGAGGGTCAGATCTGCTGCTTCTCTGCTGTTATGGCTCTGCTCTTCAGAGGCAGAGAATAGAGGAGAATCATTAGGTGCACCCACTAGAACAAGGTAAAAACATTTGTAGCACTCGATATAATCATTTTTAGTCACATTTGTGAGTGAACTTGTTACACCGTGGAGCCCTCTATCAGCTTTAGGTTTAAATAATGCAGTACTTACACACAATCCACTTCTCCATCGTGTCCAGAGACAGGTATTCACAAGGCATCTGGAGACACAAACAACATGAGGATTTGTCAGAGAGCTTTTTCTGTAAGAGGAGACGCTATGACAAGAAACCCTTAGAACGTCTCTTATGGGAACAAAAAAAAACAAAGGTGTACAACACAGTGGGACTGTTGTGGTACTCACCGTGTCTGACTGAGCCGGGTTGAGCATTGTGGAGGGAGCAGAGATGAGAGAGAGCAGCTGAGCATTCCTCCACTGGTCAGCAGACAGATTCCTCCTGGGATAAACCACCTGAAGGCTGATCAAGGCCTCCGACAGGGACTGCAGGAGAGGAGGGACGGACAACAACAAACTGCGGTGAATTTTTCAAACTGAATAGGCAGAAAACGAAATATTGCTCGACACAAACAATATCTTATGACATCTAATGGACAGAACAGCATTTTATGTATGCATTTTCCACTGTTTCAATTTCAAACGTCACTGTCATACTGAAATTTTCAGTTTTTTGAGAGGTTAGGGAATATTTTTGTGTGAAGTGCAAACAATTCTGGTACATTCTGTAAGATTACAACAAATGTTTGGATAGTTTTATTTTCTACATGTTTTCAACGCTAACAAGCAGTGTGCCCCCAACACTGATGGATTTGAATAGTGAATGTTTGTAGATTTCCTATGAGTGTATTTTTTGACTGGAGTTGAACAGGGAATATAAGTAAACCTAAATGTTCTTGTTGCAAGACATTCAAGTGTGTAGGAGTTACACTGCAACTAGGTCTCTAACACAAACTGCGAAAATAATCTTTGTGGCTGAGTGTTTGAATAAAGACTGATGACAACATTAATGTTTCCTGTCTAAAACAACTTGAGAGTTACAACATAAATCTTAAAATAAAACTTGTCACAGCTGATCTTACAAGCAGTTTTCATACCTTTCCATGTGGAACAAACTCCTCCATCATCTTCTTCAAAGGGTTCTCATAATCAACGATCATCTGGCCCAGCCTGGGGTATTCCCTGTCACTGAAGCACAAAAAGCAGCTCGGTTACTACAGAAACCACCACCACCACTTTTCTGTTCAAATCAGAATGGATGCCACATCAGTCAAAACTGAATTTAAAAAAAAGTATTATTTATTTATTCCATTCAAGGCAGAGCCTAAGATATCTTTTTACTACTCTAACTTTAGAAAGCGGAAGCAGAGTAGTAGATTTATGTCAACAATCCAAGCAAGCAGTACGCCAATGTCCCCCATCCCTGAAGGATTTGAATAGTGATCATTTGTAGTTTTCAACATGAGTGTTTTTCTGGACTGGAGTTGAACAGGGAAATTAAGTAAACTTTAATGTTTTTGATGCAAGATATTCAGGTGGGTATGAGTTACACTGTGGAGAAGTGGTAGGTTATTTTTTTGCTCAAGGCAGTGCAGAGTGTCGGATCCTGGAGGGAGTAATTTTATCCACTACCAGGAGCAACGGAGAAGCCAGGGGGTAGCCAATGGTGGCCTTGGCCCCCATAGTATAATCTTCAGCCACCCTAATCATTTAAGGAAACTACTTTTAAGCAATATAAAATCTAGAAAGCATAGTTTTCTCAAATGACGGGGTGGTCGGTTTACATATATAATGGTGGTGGCCATCTTGGATGTTTGTTTGGCACCCCCCCCCCCCATTTTTTTTTTTACATGTTTTTACACCTAGTTCTAAGCCTTACACATTAGTGTCCTCACCTTTGCTATCATTGTACCTGCCTTGGCAACACCCCCAAATTTATGATTCAATCTACCAGAGTACACTTTATATGAAAATTGGTAGATTTGGACCAGTTTAATATAAATGATTGTTAATAGTGTGTTTTTTAGACCTGGGCCTGCTTTCTAACAGAGTAGAGGTTTCTGCAGGCAACAAAAACTGCTTTAGACCTCTTAGATGGGCCTGAGACAACTCTGACTGTTTTTAGAAAATGTTGACACACAATGTTTTGGAACATTTTCCAAATTCTAGCTACAAGATTGTGAGCCACCATCATAACTAGTCCTAACAGCTGCAGGACAGTGACAGATTACCTCTGATTAGATATTGGGTAACCACTGGCTGGAAGGCCTATGGAAGTCATTATCTGATAAGGTTTTTAGGAAAACTAACTAAAAGTACTTGCACAAAAGGCTAACCATATTAAACTAAACTAAAACAAATGTGTTATTAACAAAATGGATTTTCATACAACTGAACTCAATACAATGGAATTAAAATAAAGGTTTGTTGTAATTAATCTCAACTACTGAATGCACACTGCTAAAGTTTCACTTCTTATTTTACCACATATCTATGTATTTGTTTTTGATTTCTGTTTGAATCACCTGGATCCATGCGTCATCTCGTGAGCGTAGTTGTAGAGTCCTATGATGGCTTTCCTCTCCTCGATGCGAGACAGGATTATCATCAGAGTAGTGTAGGTCACCACCAGGTCCAGGTAGTTCTTGGTCAGGTCAAAGTTCACCGTCTGACAGGGAGCAAAATGTAAAAAATAAATCAATCAAAAATTAAGCATGACAGCCTGAAAAGAGCTGAGAAGGTGAAAAGCTGAAATGAATAAAAGCCGAGATGTGCTCGATAATTTCTGTACAAATCTGACTGATCTAAACGTTAAAGTTAAGAACAAGACTTCTCTCTACCCCAACAAGTGTCTACATGTAGGTGTTGAAAACAAACAAGCTCTGAACAAAACAACATTGCTTACAATATCAAAGAAGACCTGGCAGGCGTCGACTGTGTTCAGCAGCTCACACACATGGTCCTGTTGATCAAACAGTTAACAGAAACACGGTTACAGTTTTTAACATGACGTAATTTCTGGTATATAAGCCACTACTTTTTTCACACTCTTTGAATCCCGTGACTTATACAATGCTGCTACTAATTTATGGATTTATGGACAGTCGAACCATTGAAACGGGAGGGGAGGAGAGAACGAGAGGGGGGATCCCCCTGCATGCATCGAGCATGTGAGTGTCACAAGCTCACAGAGCAATTTTGCTAAGTGAGCGAGCAGGATGCTTCACCTGCAGAATGGAAGTCCAGTTTTTTGGGGTTTTCTTTTGCCTTTAATCTTTTTTGGACTTACCATATCCCGGATGACTGAGAATCTTCATCAGCATCTTGTATCAGGAGGAATATAGTGATCAATGACTTCCTGGTAGGCTGCTGTAGTTTTTATTTATTTTAACCAGCCATGTTACAGGCACTCCTCAGGAAAGAAACATTTACTGTATGTATTTGTGTATGTTACCAGTACGTATTGTAGCATTTTGTGGTCCGTTGTGGTTGACTGCCTGTCACATGGCCTCAGGGAGGAATTATGGGTAAAATTTATATTCATTGTTGATCGTTTCAGTTGGCTGTTTGGAATTAGTGTTTTTTTTTTTTTTTTGTTTTTTGGTGATTGGTCTGTTCTTCCTGGGAATGGTTTGTGTTGGGCCATTCAGTGGAGTGACGTTGGGTGGTGGAGGTGGCTCTCACGGGGATCTGTGGTGTTCACTTTGTCTGTGTGTTGAACAGTAAAGGCTCCAGTATACTGTCGCGTACACCCGTTCACGCGTACGTACGCATGTACTGTATGCAGAGGGTTCAGACTTTGTACTCCAGCGTACACTCCGAGCAGCTGCAGAGCAGCTTCACAGACAAGGGGCGTTTACCTTCGAGACAAATTGAGGTCGCCGATTGGTCATTTGCTGACACGCCTACTGGATCGATTGACAGGCCGGGAAAAAGAAAAAAAAAAGATCGCTGGCAGCCTCAGCCACAGCGGTGTTCTGTGTTTATATGTTGTTAATAAAAAGATATTAAAAAATTAAAAAACAGAGAGCGCTGGCTCTACAGCCCACACATCAGACCAGCCCACCAGGAAATCTCCAGACCCTCCCGCAGCCACGCTGGACCTGAGTTTAATTTGCTCGTGACAAATTCCTCCATTTCTCACCATTTCAGTCATGGCATCAACGGAGGAGGAAGAGATCACTGCCTCTTGGCAAAAAAACAAAAGAAAAGGCCAGATCAGGGATGAAGAAGGGGAATTTAATACATTGGTGTCCATACAAAACAGTCCGTCGCTGGGCAGCTTATTGTGTGACACCGCGTACGCGTATGCGGTCGTAAAAATTTGAGCTTTGCACGGACATGCCCTGGGGGTACGCTCGTACCTTCACGTACGTACGTGCGTACCTCTGCTTATGGACGTACGCGGTACTATACTGGGGGCTTAAGAGAAAGTCTATAAGACGCCATCTGGTGGTTGATTCATGATCTACAACAAGTGCTGTGCATCTCGCTAAGTAGCTGTGTGCTGCCACTCATGTTACAATGTGAACATCTGCGGCTTATACACAAGCACGAGTTATATACACATTTTTTAATTTTGTTTTATTTAGTGTGTGTGGCTTATAATCAAGTGTACACTATAGACCGGCAATTGCAGTAAAACTCATTTCAGGAGTGTGTCTGAATGCGTTTCCCCACCTTGAATTCCATGACATCCACAAAGGTAAAATAGTAGAGAGCCAAGTTCTTCAGAATTTCAGATTTTTCTTTCTGCAGCTGAGCCAGCTGTTGCTGTAAAAACATCACGGCAGAAAACAAATTTACAACACGGTCATGAACGTAGAGGATGCTATTGGATGCTATTGAGCCTGAAAATCCCTTTTTCTGTGTACATTGCTTTGCTTTGAGCAAAGTGAGTGGAGCTCTCATTTTTCAAGCGTCTTTTTTTAAGCTTTGGCTGCGTAAAACTGTTCTGGCAGTACTTTTCCTACATGACAAGAAAAAAATTATATGCATATTTATAATCCGAGCCTTCACAAAAAGTCTAATTACAGAGTTTCCCTTCAGGCTTCAGCAGAGATTATTACAACTTGCTTCACTTTAATTAAAGTATCTCTTATTTTTGACTAAATGAACAGCAGAATGATAGAAACCACATTCTGCTGCTGAATAATTCAGTGATACAGCAGCGCCCGAATCTCTACCCAGCTTATAGAAACAGTTTCAAAAACACCCTGAAACATCCTGTTCTGTCTGTATTTTAAAGAAACTCGCTCTGCTCCAATATTTTTGGCTTTTAAGTATCTGACATGACAGTTGATATTAAGGGGGAAAAAAAAACATTATCATAAAGAGGATATAGTAGTAAAACAGCTGAACATTCAACTATATGATAAAAAACGCTAAAATTGGGCCTAAATATATTCCCATTCTCTGAATGTGGATAACCTTGGATCGGTCCACATCAGTGGTTCCTCAGTCTGGATTCTATGTTCTACCTTCTGACTCTTTCTCCTCGAGAACATATGTGGTTCCTAGCCTTTCTCCCCGTCACCAGAGTCATGATCCAAGATATGATCAAGGGCTTTAATAACACCATCATTGATCAATGAGCTGCCACAGAATGTGAGCAAGCCCTCAAAAACCAGAGCTGCAAGGAAAGTTCTGTATTTTGGGACCAATGCTGTGATGTGAGGATGATAAGTGCAGTTCCTGACCCGTACGAGTAAAATCCTGTTAGGGACAGATTTCTACAAGTGGAGATAAAAATGGAAATGAGTTGTGTCCACTCAGAAGAAAATGCATCTGAGAGTGTGGGTAAGGAATGGTGTCCATCTGCTGAAGTCAATATTACACATCTAATGTCTCCTACGGTCAATCAGAACACCCAAAAATTTAATGAAAAGGTATTGTCGTTTATTTTTTCTGTTCCGATGACTTGTGTAAATAGTCATAAAATCTCATGTAAATCAGATCAAAGGAAAGGCACCTTTTTTTTAAAGAGTTTAATTTGACCAATAAGCAACAGGAGGGTGAAATATAAACAGGAAAGGTTGTTAGTGGCAAATATCTGCTAATTAGATCAGTAGGCCTATTACTCGATCTACATTCCATTTTAATGATAGATAAAAAGACCAAAATGAGCAGGAAGAACATTTTTGTTCTTTAGTTGTGGATTTGATGCTTTCCAAAAACTTAAACACAAAAAGGAGTTTTGTAGCATCAATATTTTCATAAGGAGCTACATTCGTTAAGGAAAATGTCAGCAATGAAGCATATGATTGAACCCAGCTCCAGCGCTGCACGTTTAAGCTCAGAACTGAAGCCAAAACAGTTAGCATCAGGAAAAGAGGGAACAAAGAACAGAAGATGACAAGTGAAGGTAGTGTGACAAACTGTTACTGCACCAAGGAGCTAAAACCATAAATGATTTGACCTAAAGTCCAGAAAATTTAAAAAATATAAAATATATATTATTACTTAGGCCATGTTTACACAAAAACAATCTCTGGAAACATTAGTGGGTTTTTTTAAATGTGGGTACAACATGTTTTCCACCGACATGTGGTTTTGGTCAGAAGGGAGATTTGAGCTGGCGACCTTCCAATCACAGGTTCACTTCTTTAACCTCTGCACTACCACTCCCCTATTAATGTTTATTGAGGGGGGGGGGGGGGGGGGAATAAATAAATAAACAAACACATTAACATAGATCCACTGTAGTTTCCATGACAGGTAGGGTTGCCAGATTAAAAAAAACCGATGAACTACTGTACTGTCTCTTTAAAATGATTGTATTTTGACCCAAATTGTCATATGGGCTGAGTGAGGGAGACGTTAAGAGGTGTGTTGTGTTTGGTGATCATGTGTAGGCCTGTTACAATAACAAATTTTGCTGGATGAGTAATTGTCTTAGAAATTTCCTGATGCATGCTCAATAATACAGGTAGAAAAATCTAAAAAAGTATCTGGTCCTCTGGACATTCAAAAACAAAACAACAACAACAAAAAAAAAAGTAGAAATGTTTCGTCTTTCATCCGAAAGTCCCTTTTCAGGGACACCACCAAGTCATTGGTTCAGGTATGTTGACGACACCTGGGTTAAAAATTAAATCTCAGGAAGTCCAACATTTTACTGACCACATCAACTCTGTGGATAAATACATCAAGTTCACACGAGAAGATGTAAAAAATGGCAGGTTGGCTTTCCTGGACTGTGAGGTCTCAGTCTCTGATAGAGGACATTTGCAAACTGAGGTGTACCACAAACCCACCCACACAGACCAGTATTTGCAGTTTGACTCCCATCACCCTTTGGAGCACAAGTTAGGAGTCATCAGGACTCTGTATCACAGAGCAGACAGCGTCCCCACTAGCTCAGGAGCCAGGCAGAAGGAGAAATCCTATACAAGACAGACTCTAGAACAATGTGGATATCCTAACTGGGCTTTCCTGAAAGCAGAGAAGAAACCCAAACAGGACTCCAGTCAGCCAACAGGTGAAAAGTAGGAACCCAGACCCAGACCAGTGGTCATTCCATATGTTGAGGGAGTATCAGAGAAACTGAGATGTTTATTTTCTAAACATAACGTCCCAGTGGCTTTTAAACCCCAAAATACATTACGGCAAAGACTGGTTCATCCCAAAGATCCAGTCCCCCGGCACAAACAGAGTAATGTTGTGTATGCTGTTCAGTGTCAGGAGGGCTGTGATCAGTCTTACATCGGGGAAACTAAACAGCCACTGGCCAAAAGGATGGCCCAGCACAGAAGATCAACATCATCAGGCCAGGACTCTGCGGTCTACACTCATCTCCAGGCCAGCGGTTTGTTGGTGTTTTGCTTTGTTTTGTTTTTGGAATGTCCAGAGGACCAGATTTAACTTTTTTAGATGTCTCATAAATTTTTGTGATAAATAATAATATTGTTTGGAATTTGAGAATAATTAGCAGTTATTCTCAAATTTAAAAAGAAATGTTGGCTAATTTGTTTAGAGTGTAGTACCTTTTATTGACCACCAGATGGCAGTATAAGACCGTTTGAATTGAAGGATGGATAGTGAGGGAGCAAGCAGTGTGTCTCATTAAGAAGAATGGGAAGGAGGCCCCTTGACATGACATTGGCTGTCTCTCCTTCCTTTATTCAATTCTCCAAATGGCGGACGTTCGGTGTGGTTTAAGCTCTTAAGCATATCATTTGTCACACAAAGCTTTTAATTAAAAAAATCAGTGAACAAGTTCTCAGCTTCTTTTTGCAGAGACAAACAACTTTTTACATAAAGGCACGGGTTTCAACCGTGAATTTTGAAGCTTCTACAAGACGGAGGTTTATTCCCCGAGGTCGGCCTGTTAGCTTAGCTTGTAGCTTACCTTCTCAGCTTAGCTGCTTTTAGTAATCAAAAAACACAATTTTGGATGGTTAAAATGGATTTTAACACTCCTTATTACAGTCTATCAGTTTGCCAACCAACCGCAGTCCAGTTGATCAAAGACTCATTTGCACAGGAGGTTCAGCAGACACACACTCATTCAGAAAAATTAAAAACTGCTGACAGCAGAAAGGTAAGGAGGCAGAGCAAAGCAAAAACACACCCCAAATCAGCTTCAAAAAACATGTAAAACAGTTACATTACAAAACTTAAGGTACATCAACGGAAATTCAAAACTTAGGTACAAAAAAACTTACCAAAAAGCACAAGTCCGGAATAAGCGAAGTTTAGCATGCAGAACACAAACAAACACAGAAACAAAGCAGAAAACAACGTAAGAGACAATCATTGCACAGTTATACTGAATAAAGCAGTTAGCCTCACACACACGCTCACACACACACGCACACACACACACACACACCCACACACACACATTTAATGCGAACAAAACTGCCTGCTAACTGATGAACACATGGGCCAGAAAACACAAGCTAACAAATAAAGCTGAGGGAAACATGATGATGTTAGTTTAATTCATTCAAAAATGTCAACACAAATTCAAAGCCATTACAGAAGACATTTTCAATCAAAACATTCCAGACTCCATTGTTCAAACGTTTGTGACTTTTTCTTTTTTTTTTTTACATCAAATCAAATGTGAATTATTTGTGAATGTTTATGTATGTAGTACCGTAAACTTAGGATAAAAACACTTTGACATGGCTTCAGACTGGACAACCTTGTGACAGAAAAGTTGTACTTTGTTTTAGTAAACGTTTTGTTAATGATCTGCAGTTACACAGTATGGCCAACAGGGGGTGGAACGCTATATGTATTCATATTGTGGTGGTGTGGTACTGATGTTTTGGACCAGTACATTGCTAGCACACTCAGAGAACGTGCATGTTTTCTTTTAAGACATCTAGCCAACAGTCACAACAGAAAAGAAGCAGAGAAAAATGTCAGGCACGGTTTGTTTTTAGAGATGCACCAATCCACTTTTTTCACTTCTGATCCGATACCACTATCTGTCGTATAGTGTCTGTTGATACCGATCCGATATCTATCTGATACAGAAAAACAGTGCTGAATTAACAAAAATGGCTAAATCATGTCATCTGGACCCGTTTCTGAAACCGGTCCAGATGACGTGATTTAGCCATTTTTGTTGTCTACCTGGATGTTAGAGCTTACAAACCCTGTGCTGAAGTAACTTAAAACATTTGTTTTGTTAAACGCAGACAGGAATGTACTGAATTACAAATTTATTGAAACCTCTGCACCAGAGCAGCACACTTAACACACCAAGAGCTTCACAAGCTCGGTCAAACATGTAAAAACAACACAACTTTAATTTGTTCAGTCAGTACGCTAGTGCATGACGTCACTCAGAGCACAAAGCATAGAATTAGAGTGGACAGATCTGCCCAGTCATTGATCGGTCACATTGTCACTGATACCCGATCCAGAAGCCCCCCACCCCCCACCCCCCGATATCTATACTGATAATTATATTGGTATTGGATCGGTGCATCTCCATTTGTTTTAACAGGTTTGTTACTGTTAAGAAAATGCAGTTGATTCATGAAAGATAAATGATAAGATCATATTACGATGCTACAGCGAAATTTGCACTATAAAGAGCATCATCTTAACATTTGGTGCAAATGTTAAGGAGACGTTGAACCATGCAATTGAAAAAGTGCTGATTGTTTTTGTCTCTGCTTCTGGGAGAGTTGTCTGTAAAAAAAATTAATAAATAAAAAAAAAACATTTGGCATTTGTTTCTTTTTCTTGTTGGACCATACCGTGACCCTCGCATAGAGAGGGAAGAACCAAGGGGTAGGCATAGTCATACACATACCATAATACTATTGGAAGTATCTTGTGGTTCAGTCTTGTCTGCATGCGACATGCAACAGTTGGTTTCCAGAGGGCCATATACAGTAGATTAGGGCAATGGTCCTTGAGAGCAACAATCTTGTGTTTTCGACCAGGACTATTTAACTAAATAGCTCAGGGGGAACAGTTACTGAAAGCCATGAGCTCAGGGGCCAGACATCCAGTAGTTATTGTCATTAAGTAAGTTTGTTTTATGGTTTAAAATCTAGCTTTATTTAAAAATGAACCCATTGGTGGCCCGAACTGAGTTTATCCGCAGGTCTGATTTGGCCCCCGGGCCACCAGTTGAATAGCCTTGTTTTAGATGCTTCTCTGCTTCAACACATTATTTGAATGAATGAGTACATATCAGGCTTCTGCAGAACTTGAAGACCTGCTCAAGAGCAAGGAAACAACAAAAACATGTAGGACAGTGGTACTCAAGGACCAGGACTGAGGGCCACTGAACTAGGGGTAGACATTTCAAGCAAAAACAAAAAAACTATACATTTGTTCTCAAATAAATTATTTGTTACATAGCTGAGCTCACCTGTGACCATAGTTTCTACTTTATAATCCTTTCAAAATAAAGTCAATGGCAGAAACAGGTGCCGGAACGCTGCAACTTGTTATTCCTTTTTCCTTTCATTCTATTTTCAGAATGTGGAGATGTTAGTAGGTGTTGTGTAAAAAAAAAAGAATAAGTTAGAGCTCTACTCGGTCAAAAATAGTTTCCGATACTCTCCGGGAATATCAGAAATACTTTCTCAATACTGACACTTGGTATTTGTTACTGTACTTTAAACTGAACTGTCTGTGTAAAATAAGATTTAGGTATATTGTAGATTTTTGATGGAACAATATTTAGTCTGAATTTAAAATGACAATGACAAACCAGGAAATGAAAAACTTAGTTTTTTCTTTGTTTTTTTGTTTAAACATTTCAGACGTGTCCATGTGACCTGATGTTTTATCAATATACTGGTTTACATTGACCTTTTGTAAAAATGCTTTTAATACAATTAAAGATTCACCAACACAAACTCAAAATATACATACTGACAAATAAAACTTTAAAATCAAGACTTGATGTTGTTAATGATTGCAAAATAAACATTATGATGACTATCTGCTTCTTTTAAATACAAGAATCGAGAAAAAAAAAACCTCTGCTTCTCCAAGCATTTTTTTTTTTTGTTCTTTTAGAAAATCTAAAAGGAAAAATGTCTTGAAAGACAAATGTTTCTCGACTATTTTCTTTTTTCCATATTGACAGAAATCTGGAAACTAAAACAAAATTTCAGCCTCCCAATTCTTTGGACTGCACAGGAACCCTGTAAATTAGGGGTGCACCGATTGCAGTTTTCTGTCCGATCACCGATTTCTAAAAAGTCTGACCTGCCGATTCCAATTTTGGCCAACACCGATTTTGTTTAATAAGCGACACTGTCAGGTGTTATAAGGTCACAATGCACCTTCAATTTTCCAATATTATTTTGTTGAAAAACATAACCTTGAACAATATCCTAGAAACAATAGACTTGTTTTAACTGGCCATGAGGTAGTGATCTAAAATATAAATGAAGTTTAGACAATTGTTATTAAAACTAAAATTATTATTATTTTTTTTAATATCAGCAAAATCGGTTTCTCATGCAAATATTGGCTGATTTCCGAAAATTAAGGAAATCGGGGCCGATAAATCGGTGCACCCCTAGTGTAAATAGTATTTGGTCCTACGTTAACATTTTGTTAAAACGTTATATTTACACGAAAATGAACAACTCAGAATTAAAATCGAACAGTAGAACTAATTAATATTTAACAATTTACTGCTCTAATGAAACTGATACATGAAGATCTGCAAGTTTTAGAATATTTTGCCATGACATCTGATTTTTTTTGTGTGTTTAAAGTTTCAGATGATCAAATTATTGAGTAAAAAAAAAAAAAATCCATGGGTTTTTCATAAATTACTAAATTACAACTATTTTGCTTCAATTACAAAAACAGTCTGTTCCAAAATATTGCAAAAGATATTTACAAATATGATGTCATCCCCAATTCAGCCGTTAGATGGATCATAAATATGACTGCTTGAAAACCTACACTCCATGCTTGAAGACAATCTGTAAAACAACAACAGAAAACACACTAAAGACTCATCCTGATGAATACTCACGTTATTGTTGCGAGTCTCCACAGCGGGAAACTTCCTAACAATAAATTTAACAGCAGACTCCAGATTTTTGTCAACGAGATAGGAGGGCTTAGCCTTGGGATCGCCACATGCCTGCAAGAGAGGAGAGGAGGTGGTGAGGAAAGAGACCAAAATTAATACAAGCTGAAAGCTTTAATTTACATTTTCTTTCCTCGTAATGTGAGATGTTAGATGTGATGTTTGGCAGTGAGGCCTGGTGTGGCCCAGGTGAGATGTGGCAGGGTGAATGAAACTTTCACACAAATGAAGGTTTCAGAGCAAATGCATGTTCAGGACATGAAAACAAACAGGGAGCAGGTGCAGTGACCTGTGTAGTCCAATTTAAAGGTGGTTATGGCATAGATTTGGAGTTTGCTGGTTAAAACTTTTAATTTTGCTTTAATTTTATTTCCCTTTTTTTAAGAAAGCAAGTTTTGTTGTAAAAGCTTGATGAGATCAATGGTCTTCAACCTCTGAGCTGTGGAGAGGGATCACATGGATCCAGAAGTCTAGATTAAATTACTTTAGTATTGATGGTTTATTAATGTTGTTCCATTGTCTTGACTACTTTTAAAAAGAAAAAAAATTGGACTTTTATTTCTATCAGCGATTCTAATAATATACAAAATATTAAAAATATCTCAAAACAAATTGCTGCTGGGTGAATGAAGAAGCTGATTTTGGTATAAAAAACTATTTTGACATAAAAACTTACAGCTTCATGTAAGTGATTATGTACAGAGGTGGATAAATGTGTGCCGTTTTGTTAAAGCAAGAAAAAGACACAAAGGTCAGTGAAATACCTCAAATCTGATCAAATAATAAAAAAGAAAGTTTCTTAAAAAATTTTGAAAATCAAACGGTTCATTTTTAATTTTGGTTTAACAAAATAATTTAAAACTAATTAATGAAACTAAAAAGGATTGGACTTGTAACTCTGTATTTTGTTACGCAAACTGAGACAAACACAACAACCAAGTGATTTCTGTATCCGAGACTGCTGCATCTGCCCACAAGTGTCCTGCTCCACGTGCCCACAGGTGTCCTGCTCCACGTGCCCACAGGTGTCCTGCTCCACGTGCCCACAGGTGTCCTGCTCCACGTGCCCA